GAGCCTGTTTTTCAGATTTCAGGCTCGAAAATGCCACTAACACAACAAATGATATATCTTCACTTCTAAAAAGGGGTAAATTAATAATTATTTTTCTCAAAGCAAGGTTACATCTGTGAGTTGGATGTAGAAGTGTCAGAATCAATATAGATGTTTTTATTTTTAAAGTAAATTCAGATGGAACATAGTAAAAACAGAGCCTTCAGGATATTCCAACATCTCTGCAGCCAGCTGCTCCCTGAAAGTCTTCTGTGTGTGTGGCTTTGTCCTGCTGGGGTCACTCCTCATCTTGAACAGCTCCTTGTGGAGAAGGAAGCTGTTCACCACGGCAATGTCCATAAAATGGAAAAAAAAAAAGTCTTGTACCATTTCATTGTTTTGTGGAGAACGCTGTAGTACCCGATCAAAGCGTCAGACACATCCACGCCACCCATGCTTCGGTTGTAGTCCAACACAGCGTCAGGAACAGAAACAGTCTTAGTCTGCCAAACACCAGCCTGTTTCACTTTTCCTCCTGACAGTCTTTCCACTGAAGGCTGCATGCACTGTGGAGCACATGGTCACTTCCCAGCTGTCCATCCACTTTATGAACAGGAGTTTGCCTTCCCTTATCCACCGCAGATCTCCCCTTTCAGCCTTTTTTTTGGCTGGCGTGAAATTCAGTGGCTCTGGTGTTTGGTCATTCTAGCTGACATCTCTCAGTGGATGTCTGCTCACCACCTCAAGCTCAACCTTGACAAGACTGAGCTGCTCTTCCTCCCGGGAAAAGATTGTCCAACTCTTGACCTGACAATCAACATCGGCACCTCAGTTGTTTCCCCGACTCAGACTGCAAGGAATCTGGGTGTGACCCTAGATAACAACCTGTCCTTCACTGCAAACATCGCTGCTACAACCCGTTGCTGCAGATACACGCTTTACAACATCAGGAGGATACGTCCCCAGCTGACTCAGAAAGCGACTCAGGTTCTGGTCCAGGCTCTCGTCATCTCACGCCTAGACTACTGCAACTCCCTCCTGGCTGGTCTACCTGCATGTGCCATCCGACCTCTGCAGCTCATCCAGAATGCAGCGGCTCGTCTGGTTTTCAACCTTCCTAAATTCTCCCACACCACTCCGCTCCTCCGCTCCCTCCACTGGCTTCCGGTAACTGCTAGAATCCACTTCAAGACACTGGTACTTGCTTACCGTGCTGCGAATGGATCTGGCCCTTCCTACATCCAGGACATGGTTAAACCGTACACCCCAGCGCGTGCACTACGCTCTGCATCAGCCAAACGACTCGTTGCACCCTCGCTGCGAGGGGGACCCAAGTTCCCATCGGCGAAAACACGTGGGTTTGCTATCCTGGCTCCAAGATGGTGGAATGAGCTCCCCATTGACATCAGGACGGCAGATAGCTTGCACATCTTCCGGCGTAAACTGAAAACTCATCTCTTTCGACTCCACTTCGAGCGTTAGAACGATTAACGAAGCACTTTTATACCAATAAAGGACTGGATTACCTAAAGCCAGTTGAGTAGCACTTGAAATGTTTGGCTCTATGAAACCTGATATACTTATATGATTCTGTTTTCTTCAAGGTTGTGTCTTCCTGGTCGAATGTACTTATTGTAAGTCGCTTTGGACAAAAGCGTCAGCTAAATGCAATGTAATGTAATGTAATGTAATGTAATTCTCCTCTCTGTTGTGCCACCCGAGTTCTTCTTCTGTCGTTCTGGAAGAGGAAGAACCTCGGCCACGCTCCCTGGGTTTTACACATTTATCTGATGCTTTTCCTTTTCCTGGCTGAGGAGTGGGAGCCCCACCTCGGCCACGCTTCCTGGGTTTTACAGATGTGTCTGACGCTGCAGAAAGCTGGTAGAAAGCAGATGATGGTAGCTTTGGAAGTGAGTGCTTTTTGGATGCAGGCTGAGTGGCCAATACTGGTGCAGATCTCTTTCTAGTGAAAGGTGAGGCAGAAGTTGAGGAATGTGAGGGTGAGGCAGGTGTGGGCTGGGTGAAAGTAAACAATGGTTGGGGTCCAGAAGCCATTTCATCCTCATCTCCATCACTATGAAAACAAATGTGGAATAACAAAGAGATTAGATTAATTCCTGTTTCCTTGGCAGTAAACATGGCATTTTGAGTCTGTGAATGCAATACATTTAGTGACTATAGACGAACACTGGCCTATACTTTTAGTAAATGTAACGGACAATAAACACTATTTGGTATTTTTGTAAATAATCCCTCTAATTCCTGCCAAACATGCCATTTTGCGTGTGAATTTACATTACATTGCATTTCATTTAGCAGACGCTTTTATTTACTATATGAATAATCGTACACCAAATAAATAAGTAATAGATAAAAACAGAGAGTTTACATACCTTTGCCGTGGTGGAATTTCGTCATCAGAGTCACAACGGTCCGGGTTCCGTTCTGGCTGCAGGAGATCCTCGTCGTCTGATTCAGAATCAACAGGTAACATATCTGCATCGCTGTCAACATTAGTCACAATTGCCTGTAAAGTAGTAAGCATCTCTTTCCTGTGAGCCATTATTTGACAAAAGTCAAAGTACAGAAAAAGTCCTAAACGCAAATATTGTAATCTGCTCTGGTATCTGCTGTCCGCTCTGTGCTCCGTGCGCTCTGGGTCCTGCTGCAATTCCTGCTTCGTTACGTTGTAAACAATAAATGAAGTCGGCTGCGTAATGTTGTTACGCTGGCTGGCATTCTTTATAGTTTACGCAGGACCATATCTCTGGAACCCATTGGTCGATTCGTGTGATTTACACCTTTTTCTTAACCATCAGAACCAATAGAATCAATGGGCAGTTCCCAAATCCACGTAAACATTACCATCGCGGACGTAATAGAGAAGCAAACGAAGCATATCTGAAAGTGCAAGCCTGGACGGCAAAACTTTATACCCAGTATATTGCCATAAATATGATGATGGATTATCAGTAAAAATGTCTACGTGACACAAAGACATTGGATTAACCTTGAGATGCGTTTTTATTCCGTTGAACACAACTTTTGATCACAAATCAAAAAAGGTAAGACGTAATTATTGTAATATTTTTGAAACCGGATGTTGTTTACTTTCTCTTTTCTGGCTGATAGCTCCAGGAATTCGAGGTCTTACAGTGATGACATTACATGTGTGGAATCTGTGGAGTCTCAGCTTTAAATCGTATATCTTGTTTGTGCAGTTACGATAGTAATAAGGGCATTTCTACCGTGAGTTCTGTGTAAAAAAGTGTTAGCATTAGATAGCATTTTTTCGCTCAATGCTAATTCAAAGGCTTGGTATTACTCTTGTGTTTTTTTTAGCTAAAAATTGTTCTTATTGTCAGTTAGCGGAGTTTCTTACCTTTAAAAGGGTATGAAACATTAATAGTTTCATAAATGTTAAGAAGCCCTGAGAAATAGTCTCGAAAAAAAACTGTGGGACTGGTCCACTGGGGGGGACCTTCGGGCTTAAGAGGTTAAACACCAGGGACACATCTTTATGTGTAAAATACATCAAAAAGTGCATTTTGCATACTAGGTCCCCTTTAAGTAAAAGTACTTAAAAGTATTCTCAGAAACAAGTACAGCACCTTCTTATGTAAAAGTAATGATACTGCAATAAAATATTCCCTGTCAGTGTTTGATTTATGACGTTTCTTGATTATTGTCAGTGTCGCATTTTACTGTGTGCATGTTTAAGGTTGCACTTCTATAAATGATGATAGAAGAGTAGGGTATCGTTTGAATTTCCACTTTTCAATTCCGATTATTTGAGGGGTAAAAAAATGATACATGCTTCTTCCACCAAGAAAATTACATTTATTCGAGAAACTTTTACACAGGTTAGTTTACAGTAATATTCACATTAATCAGTCCGTTTATATTCACTGCTATGTAACTATAACCTGAGAACCACTGAAGCTACAACAGTGCAACAGTCCAACTTTTAAAGAACAGTTCTTAGGCGCTTTCACACTGCGGTACTTTTCCCACAAAGGTTCATGTGAACTTAGTTCATGTGAACTCTTTAGTTCGCATGAACTAAGTACAGATCGCGTTCACACTGGAAAAAGTCCCTGGGGGTGGATTAGGCAAATGAAGCCGCTGACGTCACTTGTTCTTCTTCTGCTTTGGGTTTACTGGCAGGCCGCAAACCACTTCACGGCGTATACTGCCGCCCAAAGTCCCCGGCCGGAAGTCCCCGGAGTTAGGGACTGGCTTCAGTAGAAGCTGCTGGGACTCCCAGCAGCTTCTACTGAAGCCTTCCGAGTAAATCGCCAGAACGCCGACACCTCCTCATCTCCACCGCTCCCATGTTTTATTTTGTGTTGCCATAAGTTAGTCTCTCTGCGTTTCTGCGCTGGGGTAATGCTAATGATGCTAATGCGAGGATAATAAAATGGCGGCTTCACAAAACTTTTTGGGAGTTTTACGGGGCGTGGTTTGCATTCCGCCCAGCCAATCAGAAATATAGCTATTTTCTCACAAAAGAGCCGCTCGAAAGTCCCTGCTCTCTAGCAGGGACTTTCGAGGGGGTAGAAAGATTCACATGAACTAATTTTAGTACCGGCTCTTTTTGGTGTGAACGCGATAAAAGAGTTCACATGAACTAAGTTCACATGAACCTTTGTGGGAAAAGTACCGCAGTGTGAAAGCGCCTCTTGTTGAGAAAAACAAGCATATCTGCCTTCTCAGGCATACCGGGAAGAAATGTTTGAACATTTTGAAGTAAAATGCTTCAATCTGGTGCACTTTAAGCAGAATTACTAGAGACTAGATCTAGGGGGTACAACTCTAAACACTAGGGGTGCACCGAATGGGAAATTCTTGGCCGAAACCGATACCGAAAATAGGAAACAGTTGGCCGAAAACCGAATGCCGAAAATGATTAATAGAAATATATATATATAATGTATACATTTTTTACCAATGTTGTTCAGCTACCTGATTATGGAAATAGACATGATTATGGCAAAACTTAACTTAAATAATAATCACTATTATGGGTCCATAAAACATTTATTCAGCACTTTTGAATGCATACAGTACATTTATTTTCTCTGTAGGATAACTACAACAAAGTGCATTCAGAACAAAGCCAAGGGGCTTTAAAACTGCATAAACATCTAGGCCAGTAGGCCTACAACAAAATAGTGTAAATAAAGACTGTAACAGCCAGGCCTTCAACAACAACAAATGCACCTATAAGTGCATGCATACAAATGTGCAAACTGGATAAATCCACATGAATGTAACTATAGTATTTACAAATGAAATTACAATTGAATTTCAAGAATCTGTAAATAAGGCCTCATAAACAAAGTAGTAAACATTGTATAAAGATACATAGAGTGAAAACTGGATACAAAATCCACAATCAATTACAAATTAAATTACAATTTCAAGAATCTGCAAATAAGGTGGTCTGTCCTCATGAGCAATGTAAACAACATTGTATCATTTAGATACCGAAAGTACAATATATTGAACACTGTGCTGCTGTCATTTCCCCTAATGATAACCTGAGATGGTGAATTATAACTCACAATAAAAATTGTTCAGGAAAGTGGGTATAGAGTAGACATGTAGAACTAGATAAGCTTATGATAAGCCTATGATAAGCCAGCCTTGTCTACTTATTAAGGAAAAGTGGGAGGTTCTTTTTAATGAACAGTAGCTTCTCTGCTTTATCAGCCATAAGTCTGTTCCTCTTCTCATCAAGCACATGAGAGGCAGCGCTGAACAGTCTCTCGCTGTCAGTGCTTGTGCATGGAGCACTCAAATACTTGCGTGCCACCTTGGCCAGGTCAGGAAAGCGGTCTTGTTTGTTTCTCCAGTATCCAAGAGGGTTCTCGCTTCTGGGGATGGGTACTTCTGAGAGATAATCATCTAACTGTTGAGCGGTTGAGCTTGTCACCAGCCTGGCATTTGAGAGGTTTGAGAGAATAAGATTGTATTTAAAATAGGGACAGTGCATAATGAACATTTAGTCAAATGTATATTTACGCATGCCAGATCACTTGGCAGACAAATAAAATCATCTGACATGTCAAAAGAAATTACAACATTAAGTGCATATTACATAGCAGCACATACAGTACTAATAAATATCACATTCAGTAGCACATAGTACAGTAAGTAACCAAGTCAGAACAGAGTAGCCTACCTATTTGGGGTAGTATTCTCTTCCATGATCTCGTTGAACATATCAGACAACGAGGGTGGTTGCCCCCTCTCCTCCTCTGCTGTAGACAGACGAGCCCTTTTGTCTGTGGTCTGCGTCACGTCTCCTGTGCTGTGCGCAGCAGCCTCCTCTCGTGGGTTCTCCTTATCCAACACAGCCTGGATCATGTCTCGTGCGCTTTGCTTTTTCCCCGCATCAAAATAATTGTCTTTATATCGCGGGTCAAGTACAGTCGCGATACAGTACAGGGGATCAGAGTAGATATCAGCAAAACGTGTGTTGACAGACTCCAAGAGTGTACTTTTCATAGTTTTTACTCCACGGTCCGTTTCAACCTCTTTCCTTAGAAGACGCTTTAGAGCCGCATGTAAAGGGATGACGTCTGCCACCGATGCGTCAGATGAGCTAATCTCTCTAGTTAGCTGTTCGAATGGGGCAAGAATGGAGAGAATGTTCTCCATTAAGATCCACTGGTTTGGAGTGAATGATGCGGGGAGATCATGATCTGCGCTGTATGTAGCCAAGGTTCGCTTTTGAGCAAAGAGGCTTTCCAGCATATAATAAGTACTGTTCCACCGTGTACTCACATCTTGTTGGAACCGTTTCGTTGTTACTCCAAGCTCATCTTGTATTGGCTCAATGCGAGAATAGGCCAGTTGAGAATGTTTGAAGTGACCAACAATCTTTCTGCTTATGGCCAACAGATCTTTTACGCTGCGTTGAGCCAACACTCCCTCGTTCACAGCTAATTGCAGAGTGTGGGCCATGCAGCGTATTCCACTCAGATTGCATTCTTCTATAGCTTTAGTCATATTTCTTGCGTTATCACTGACTATTGCGTGCACTTTAGGTCGGTCGATATGCCATGTGTCGAACATATTGGCGAATGCCAAGGAGATGGATTGTGCTGTATGAGACCCCCTAAACTCTTGCGAATGCAGCAGAATCTTTTGCAGTTTAAAATCCTTGTCGATCCATTGTGCAGTTAGACTGAGCATACTGGTGATGCTTACGTCTGAGCTCCATATGTCTGTCGTGAAGCTGATGGCTGTAATATCTGTAGCCAAGAGCTCATGGATGTGATTAGCAACAACATTGTACAGTTCAGGTAAGCACACGTCTGCTAAGTGTCGTCTGCTAGGCAAGGAATAACGTGGCTCAATGTGCTCAATAAGCCTACGAAATCCAACGTCCTGTACGACAGAAAACGGTTGATCATCCATGGCGATGCATTCCATTAACTTCCGAGTAATGCCCTTTGCCTTAGGACCATCACTGGGAAACTTTTTTACCTTTTCAAAAAGGTCCGCCACAGAAGGAGTCGGGGTGCTGGGAAGGACTTTTTTTTTCTGTGCGCTGGTGATTTCATCATACTCCGCATATTTGTCCGGGTGTTTAGATTTCAAGTGGTGGAGTAATCCCGAAGTGCTGAAAGTCTTTGCAGTTACACCCCCTCGAGAAATGTCAGCTGAACACGTTTTGCAAATCGCAATCCGCGCCTCTTTCTCTGATATTGTGAAGTATCTCCAAGCGGCAGACATGTTGGCTGTGAGCCAGCCGCGAGCATGGTCGCCGCGTCTTTATTACGTCATCACAACAACACGTTAGGTTACCAACGTAAGCCTGTTCTGACATTCGGTGATATTTTTTCGGTGCTAAAACCCTTTCGGCCTTTTTAACCATTTTCGGCCGATAATTTTCGGTGGGCGAATATTCGGTGCCTCCCTACTAAACACCCATATGAAAAAGATCGGTTTACATTTTAATAATTAAATAAGTATGTGAACATAACCAATAACCTACAATAGCCAATAACAAATACATGTAACGTATTTTATTTTTGTTGTTCATTCATATCTTATTTTACTATTTTATTTATGCATGTTTTTATCTCTCCAGTTGAAAACGATATGTCTGGTTTACTGTCCTATAGTATACATTGGAATGATTTCAAACCTGTTTTATCCCAATAATTATAAAGGAGTGCCTTGGAAATATGTATTTACATAAATTGTGATCAAAACGTTTGAGACCCACTGAGATAACTTAGACTAAAGTTAACTATCTAAACACTCAGAGTCCTTTACCTCACTGAGCTGTAGTTATCAGTCTGACTGGAGAGGACTCTCCTCCACATCATTGTAGAAACATCTTCTTCTTCCGTTAGAGCAGCTAGCACCAGATGCTAATAACAACAGCGCGTACCGGTGCACCCTCCCTTTCTCCCTCGCTCCCACGCTCACTCGCACTTTGGCTGTGAGCTGCGGGTGCCAGATAAGCCAACATCCCCCATTTTCATCACTTACATTGTACAGGGTAAATGAAAAGTGGAACCGGGATGAAAAGGGTGTTACATTTACTTAATTATGAATGTTGTTACATCAAGGCCGAAAATTAGGATGAGCCCCAACGGTCAAAACATTTGTTTTCCCTCCCAGAGCTGTCAGTGCAGCGCCTCCACAGATCTGGCGCCCTAGGCGAACATGGTTACGCTGTAGGAAGTGTAGGTACAACGCTACATTTCCCGCCCCGCTGCAGTCATACAGTAGGCTACGGAGAGCGGCGAGAAACATTTCCTCAGGCATCGAAAAGCGGAACCGAAATTCACATTTCTAAATGATGCCGCTGGAATCGAAATGTTGGAACCGGTTCCGAACCGGAACTGGTTCTCGGTACCCAACCCTATAGAAGAGGGAACCCGCAATCTGAATACACCCAAAATGTAAGTTTGTATTTCTTGTCTCAAGATGAAACAATAAATACATACATTTAACAATGAATTACTCATTAAAAAATACCTTTATAATGGGGAACATTAAAAAAAGGAAGAGAGATAATTAGTGGAACAACTGCAAAAGGAAACATTTATTATTTTATTAATTAAATATTTTCCACATTTATTTTGTGGATTACTTTTTGGTCAATATAATTGCATGATAATTCATTTATTAATTCCTTATATGTAATGTATTCACTTGTCTTTAAATCAAAGAAATGATTGTTCAGCTTGAAAAAGAGTTGAAAGTGTTAATAAAATGAGAGCATTTTGCTGCATGCTCACATGAACCAACACAGAACATAAGTGGGGGGGACAGAAACATGGAGAAAGGTACCAAACTCTTACATGGACATTTGTAAACTGTTCCAGGCATTGAGATTGACAAGGAATATTTGGAATGCTACTCTGTAAAGGGAATAGGCCTACTACTGTTAAAATAACCTTATTTGTTTAAAATAAAAGTGCGCAAAAAACTCATTATACACTTTTTGTTATATTCCATGGAATGCTCTTAACACCCCGATAGCAATGAATATCTTAAGTGCTTTGACAAAAAATCCATAAAAAATGTCATCTGTGGAAGCCGTAGTAGCCTACTGTAAAAAGCACGGCCAATTAGCCGGCTCGGCTAAAATAACTGGATGGCCTACCTGCCTGTCAGCCTTCGATCTGTGCACAATAGGGATGTGCATCTCCATCACTGAGGCCGATGCGATGCGCATCTCGATACGTTGCCACGATACGATACATTAACGATACATTTGAAACACTAGGCGATGCGATACGATACAATTCACCCCTGTTGCGATACAGTTCGATACGATTTGATTAAACATTATGCGATTCGGTGCGATGCAAAAATAATGATACTTCAATATGGTACGACAGAGGATTTTTGTTTTATTCCTTATATGCAGCAAATCATACATTAACAAAAAAGTGCTTTATATATTTGGTACTGCACATCCCATCATGCCGTTTATTTGTTTGCCTTTAAAAGCTCTCCAGAGTACAATTGTATAACACCTCACAGTCCACATCCAACAATGTAAGGATGCATTGCTCATGATTAACAATGTGCAAATAACAGCTACCATAGTGCAATGCCCATACAGCTGCCAGCCTGATGTGCTTAACACTCATAGGCTAACTCACCAGTGAGCAGAAAGCAGTGGGTTCTATATGAACAATAAAGAAAACAAATAACCTTTCACAAACAGGTATTTCATAACTGCTTACAGTGAGGAAGACATTTACATTATTATTGGCCGTCACAGGCTGCTGTAAACTAAACACCACTCTCTCTGACAGAACACTTCACTGAGTGATTTAACTCATGTCTAACTTTCAGGTTTCTCTTTTCAGCCGCAGACCCCATGTCGCCTCTTTATGTGCGTCGCTAAGTTCCTCATACTACTTGTGTACTTTAAAGCGGCTCGGCATCGTTAACAATTTGCGAGCGATTTTTCAAGTTGACCGTCTGTGCCGCGCACATATACCATCAGGACGTTACTGATGGGGTGCGGCTGCGGAGTGATACTGTGTGTATGCAAGCCCGCATCTAGGACGGATCTATGTATCATGGCTGTAGACCTGTTAAGTAATAAAGATACCTCATACAAAGGTCTACGGATACCTTATTACTCTCCATGACCTGCGGTCAACTATATAGCATAAAGGACTATTACACCGTCTTTCTTGAACAATCCGAAGTGTTGCCAAACGTTTGATTTGTAGGTATTTTTCGGTGCGCTGTGTTTCTCTTTCTCCTCAACTTCCGTGTGTGTTGATAACTGAGACTCTCGGCCTCCGTAGTGGCAAAGCAAATATCAAAGATCGTCTCTGCTGAGCGTTGACAAGATGAGGGGATTTTATATGAATGAATCGGTTTTTTACCGATGCAAAGACGCTACGCAATCGATGCATCGCGAGTTCAACCCGGTTCAACCCAAACTGTAGCCGATGTGCACTCTTTCAACCGGTGCACTCGCATCTTGAACGTTTATGCCGGTGCACCGATGCGAATCGGTGAATCTTAACATCTCTAGTGCACAACTTATCTTGTGCCCTCCCCCAGGAGGGGCTCTGTAAGGAAGTGGCAGATTTTTTCCGGCTGTGTATTTTCAAATTCTAGCGCACTCGAGCTGGTTTCTCCAAAATTACCTACCCCACCTTTAAGTTATAAGTTGGCAAAATGTAGCTAAATTAGGCTTGATACATTAATATGCTTTAAGAAAAAAACAGCCTACATCACAGCTTTCTATCGGGTTTCATTTATGGTGTTGGCAGCTCATCCCTTAAAAACAGAAGTCTCAAAGTGATTATAATAACATGAAATATGAAGGGTCTATTTCAAGCTTGTTGCGTTAATAAGTTATTAGGCTTTTTTTCATCAACTAAGATTTGTTAGAACATTTTATCAACATGAATTGACTGAATTTATTTTAAAAGTGAGCTTATTAACACATGAATACTAGTGTGTAATATGGCTGTACATATATATTTAAGAAGTACAATATGAGAAAAGCACATTTCATTTGTGGGACATATTTCCCAAATACTTTTTGAATTAGCTGTGGGCCGGTGTTCCGGATTAACTTGTTTCCCGATCAACTTGTTTCCCGATCAACTCGTTTCCGTGGGGTGCGTGGCTTTCGACTGAAATACACATTTCGATCGCTTTCTTCTGTCGTTTACATACATCCGTTGGTATATTTGGCTTCTTAGGAACACGTTGATGCACATCCAGTACCAGTGTGTGAGGTTGTGATTACGATGGCGATATCCGGACGCGAACAGCGAGGACTACAACAAGACAAACGAGTTGCTCGAATAAATCATTTAAACCAGCTATTGTTGCCAGACTTATTATGGAATATCGTTGTTAATGTCCAAGTCCATCTGTGTATACCTTCAGACAGCCTCCAAGTGAAGCACGCGGTGTTTACTCACAGTTTGAAAGCAGCGTGGAGAAGTCTTCATCTGTGTTAAACTGTGTTCAAAACATTCACATCAATAAATCCTTTACTAACTATTATTGTTGTCAGTCTTACATTTGTATCATATATTATTATCAATATGATGTCGGGTTGCATTTTTCTAGAAGTTGTTGACAATGTTAATGTAACAAATTGAGCTGTGGTGATCTGTTAGGACGTGATGATTCGTGGCGCACTCATAACACGCAGGGCATGATTGATTTTGACTGTTGGGACTCGGGTTTGAGTCCAGCATGAACTTTTGTTATTTTCATGTCGATGCACATTGAATATTATGTTTGAATAGACGATTCGTAATATTGTTTGCCGACACCAACATTCACGACCAAGCAGCATTTTAAAGTCTAAATATCCCCAATGACATTTATGCTGCTATCTTTGCAAAACGAGGTAACAGTCACATCTTATCTGGATGAGTGCTGCACAATACCGTTTTTATAAGGGATACATGTGTGGGTAGTCTTTCATATTAAACATGATCGCTGGTAGATAGCCACAGAAATCGTAACACAATTTAACCTGGGCAGCTACGTTCTTGCGTAATGCGGAAGCAAAATCTAAACTGGGTTGGAATAACGATAGACGCGGGCGGGTCACATTTTAACGTGGGCGGGTCCCAGTTCCGTGGGAATATCACAGTTTAACACAGATGAAGACTTCTCCACGCTGCTTTCAAACTGTGAGTAAACACCGTGTGCTTCACTTGGAGGCTGTCTGAAGGTATACACAGATGGACTTGGACATTAACAACGATATTCCGTAATAAGTGTGGCAACAATAGCTGGTATAAATGATGTATTCGAGCAACTCGTTTGTCTTGTTGTAGTCCTCGCTGTTCGCGTCCGGATATCGCCATCGTAATCACAACCTCACACACTGGTACTGGATGTGCATCAACGTGTTCCTAAGAAGCCAAATATAGCAAAAGATGTATGTAAACGACAGAAGAAAGCGACCGAAATGTGTATTTCAGTCGAAAGCCACGCACCCCACGGAAACGAGTTGATCGGGAAACAAGTTGATCGGGAAACAAGTTAATTCGGTAACACCGGCCCCCGGGCCGTAGTTTGGACACCCCTGGTTTAAAGTGTTAATGAAGAGTAAAGGGAACAGACCTGCTCTGTGTATCCGAAGCTGAGGCTGTAAAACAGCGTCCAGTAGCTTCTGGAGTCTCTTGTTCTCCTCTTTTAAACGAGACAGCTCCTCTTCGTACTCTGCTATCGTTTTTTCAAACAGAGCAAATATCTCTTCAGCAGTGAGTCGCTGCTTCTTCAACGACAGCAGCATTTGGACTTTACTCATGTTTCCTAGATCACCTGTTCCTGCAAACTCCGTTAAACACACCGTTTCTCTCTCCATCAAACTCTCAATCTGACTAGTGTTGCCAACGTGTTTCCAGCTAGCATGCTAAGCTAGCTCCTATAGTCCGAGGTAAACGCTCCAGAAAAAAGAGCACACAGTCCATTCGGAGGTTTATCCAAACACACAGATGATGGATCAGTAGAGCTGGAGCTCACACACGCTTTCTCAGGAACACAGAGAGAGAGAACCGTAGCGACGAGACGCCACCTGGACCCAGGGTGACTACCGATCTGAATCCCTGCCCGATTTGCAATGCGCATCTTCTTCTTCTTTCTTCTTCTTCTCTCGTTTTTGGCGGATTGCAAACAACTTAAAAGGTGCATACCGCCACCTACCGTACATGAGTATGAATCATCACATCATTCCACTCTTTAACCTATGATCTAATCAAAATAAATCAAAAATAAATCAACAAAAACATGAAATAAATAAAACAAAAATCAAAATCTATGTTCTTTCCTGTTAAATTATTTTTCCTACCCCAGTTTCACTCAAGAATGTAAACAGTGCCTTTCTGGTAGCTCTTACTCCCTCTCCTTTTGTTCCCAAAACACCAACCACACTCCATTCCCTCTCTGTCTCTAAGACTTCAGCCTTTAGTTTTTCTCTTTCAGCTTTATAGATGTCACAATGTAACAAGATATGTTCTACATCTTCTTTTACTCCACAGTTCCCACACTTGTCACTGTCACTTTTCCCCATGATATACAGCGTACCATTCAAAGCTGTGGGATTTATTCTGAGTCTAGCTATCATGATTTCCTCCCTTCTGTTTCTTTCTTTATAAATATTAATTGTAATTGTCTTTTGTACTTTGTGATACTCTTTGCCTTACTGGTCTTCCTCCCACCTTTTCTGCCAGATCTCCATCCCTTTCTTCTTCATTATTGCTTTTCCTTCTCCTTTTCCAAGTTGAACTGGTAATGTTATTTCCTTAGTGCACTTTTTGCTCATTTATCAGCACACTCGTTCCCTTTCACCCCCTCATGTGCAGGCACCCAGCAGAACTGCAGATCTACCGCCTCTGTGAAGTCTTAACAGGCTGTGGTTAAGTTCTATGAGAATGTCTTCTCAGACAGTTGTTGTTGATTGTATGCTTTTTAATATGGACAATGAATCTGTGCATATCACCACCCTATCTGGTCTGACCTCTTCAACCCACTGTAATCCTATTATTACAGCAAGCATTTCTGCTGTGTACACTGATAATTGATCAGACGCTCTTTTTGAAATCGATATTTTAAAGTCTGGGATGTATATACCAACTCCATCTAGGGCTGGGCGATTTTTTCGGTTTTCACGATTAATTGCATTTTTACTTTCCTACGGTTTGTGAAATGGCTAAACCGAAAAACCGCGATTTTTTTTTGGATCTGTAATCAAAAAGCTCCTCAAAAACACTATCGAAGCAGTTCCTGCCGTTGCTACGTTAGTTCAAACAGTAACAACGCACTATTTTTCTTAGCGGATGCATGTCAATTTAAATCAATACAAAACTATTTTTTAAATCAATAAAATCATTTTCTAAATCCATAAAAGCATTTCAATTAATATTGGGAGTCATGTCGTTACTTTGCTGAGAATTTGGCCGTGTAATAAGCGGGATAATGTGCACATTGCACATTGCATAATGTGCCTTCATAACGATCCCTCCGCCAAAAAAACGAGCCGGCTCCTGTCGTTCACTTAAATAGTTCGCGACCGACACATCACTACGACAGACGTAGCATAAAAATGTCCACGAACACAGATGAAGAAGAACTCATTCCTAAAAAAGGTACCACTTCAGTAAGTTCAGTTGTATGGAAGTGGTTCGGGTACAAGCAGTCAGACATAGAACAAACAACTGTTCTGTGTAAGGTCTGTAGAAAGACGATCGCTGCAAAACATGGGAACACAACCAACTTATTCCAGCACCTGCGACAGAGACATGCAGTGGTGGAAGCTACATGAAGCTAACTTCCCAAGACTGAGTTATCTGGCCAAGAAATATCTCTCCATTCCTGCCACAAGTGCCCCTTCTGAGAGGGTTTTCAGTACGGGGGGTAATATTGTAACATGCCAAAGAGCATGCCTCAAGCCAGAGGCAGTAGACAGGCTTGTCTTCCTCGCGAAAAACCTGTAGAAAACTTCCTAGAAAGTTAAAGGGATGTTATTTTGTTTGAGGGTATTTTTTTATTATTCATTTCATTATCATTATTTGTTGTATTTGTATCATTCAACATGATGATATTTTTAAATGATGAAACCAGTCTGAAGTGATTTTTTTTGTTTGATGCCAAGAGCAAGACTAACCTGGAATTCATGCATTGCAATTATTCTAATGGTTAACTTCCTGCAAGCTATAACAAACCCCAATATTACCTTTCCTGAAATCAACATCCTGTAACCTGATTTATTTTGGACATGTTTTTCTATTTCACTATTATATTAAAAACATATAACAATATATATTTTATTTTTTTAAATGTTTAACTGATGACCTATAGCCTTTATATTTTGTATTGGAACATAACAAAAACATATTTCATAAAACAGTTTTACATTTTCAAAGATATATGAGGCTTTATACTTTCTTTTAATTTTCTTTGAGATATGATTTGTTGAAATGATTGACAAAAGTGTATAATGTATATTTTTCTCACATAACTAAATATGCAACCCAAATTATTCTGGACAGTGATATTTAATAGGTTTTCTTTCCATGCAGGTGCATTTGGAAATAATAGAAATGTTGAAATTGAAATGAAACCAGATGCAGTCAACATTTCTAACATCAGATTCAGTATTGGCATTTTTTTCATCCGTGAACCTTTGTTGGAAATGTGGATGATCCCAAAATAAAATGTCAAGTCCTCGCATCTTTACTCCAACCATCTGTTTTATTCTTCTTTTTACTCGCCATACTTAACTCACCACATCCAGGAGGATCCATATCATTTCAGAAAAAAATCGAGGTTTAAATCGAAAATCGTCCATTAGTTAGAAAAAATCGAGGTTTTATTTTTAGGCCAAATCGCCCAGCCCTAACTCCATCACACTCTTCCTTGTTCTTAGAACCATCTGTGTACATGTTTAGGTAATTGTAGTACTTTTCGTTCAGGTACATACTTGTTTTAATTCTCACTTCATTTATTTGCCACTCTTTTTTCCTTTCTACAATACTCATATCTATATTAGCTTCTGGGAAAAGCCATGGGGGAATACTACTAAATGGGGTTGCTTTGGCCAACGTGATGGTCTCCACTCCATATGCCCTCGTTCTCTCCTTACTCTTCATGCCAAACCTACGCCCCTGGAATTTTCTATATTCCCAGCAATCCTGTAGTATTCTGTTTGAAATATTTTCTTCTCCACTTCCTTGTAGCCTGACCCAGTATGACAGAGCAAGTTTCTCTCTTCTGATCTCCAGAGGTGTCTCTCCTGCTTCTATCAGAACTGCTTTGATAGGGGATGACTTTATCGCTCCAATACACAGCCGCAATGCTTTATATTGTAATCTATCCATTTTGAAAAGCGATGTTTTTGCTGCTTCTCCATACGCTATTATAACCATAGTATGTTGTGGACCTCATCATTGAGCTGTAAATGTCTATTAATGCTTGTTTGTCTGCGCCCCAGTCGCATCCAGCTACATTTCGCAATACATTTAATACTTTTTAGCATTTTGTTTCCACTTGATTAATATGCATTTTCCATGTATATTTGCTATCAAACCACAGTCCTAGGTATTTGAACTCATTCACCTTTGTCATTGGACGATCATATAGTGTTAGCTGTTGGCCATCAATCTTGCGTTTTTTATAAATACCATGTAGCATGACTTGCTTTCTGACATTTTGAATCCCCAGTTATATGACCACCTCTCCACTTTTTTAATCGCTCTAGCTATATTCTCCATTACCTATGGGGCATGTCTTCCCTCATCCAAATAGCCCCATCATCTGCGTATATAGAGCCGATTGGATGCATGTGTCTAAGCATGTAAATATGTCATTAATCATGATGTTAAATAATATTGGACTAACTGCACTCCCTTGGGGGATACCATTTTCTATTTCAAAATAATTGGAAATATCTGCTCCAACCTTTACTCTAAATGTCCTGTCTGTTAAAAAGGCCTTTACCCAATTGTACATTCTCCCTCCAATACCCATTCTACTCAATTTGATCAGTAATCCATCCCTCCACATAGAGTCATACGCCTTTTCAATGTCAAAGTACACTATTGCCATTATCTCTGTAATTTTCAGTGTTTTTTCCACATCATTACTCACTCATTACATTTTACTAAAGCAAATATTGTGGACCGCCCTTTACGAAATCCGCTCTGAAAACGACTCAGCAGCCCTTTCTGTTCCAGTACATGTGAGAGCCTACGGACAATGATCTTTTCCATCCATTTACATAGGTGTGATGTAAGAGCTATTTGACTGTAGTTCCTAGGGTTAGCTGTATCTTTCCCTGGCTTATTGAATGATAGCACGACTGCTGTTTTCCACACACTTGGTATATCTCCTTCTCTCCAGATTTTATTAAAAAGACTCAGCACCATTGTCATAGTTTCCATAGGTAACAGTCATAGCATAGCTGGTCTTGTCCTGGGGCTGTATATCCTGTACCTTGTAAGTATATTTTGAGTTCTGACATTGTAAATTCCACATCAAGAGCTGACCTATTATCCTGTCTCTTCTCCTTCACGTTTTCATTCTCTGCTAGTAACTGCTGTTTTTGCTGCCTATGAATATCACTGAGATGCCCCCCACTAAGGCCACTATGTACTGCTGCAAGTGTCCTTCCTAACATATCTGCCTTCTCTTTATCTGTCACTGCCAGCCTCTCCCCATCAACCAAAGCTGGAATTTTAATGGGTTTCCTTTTCCCACTCATCTGCTTAAACATGGAGCAGACATCACATCATGTGATGTCACCACTGGTGGTACGCGAGCTCCGGCTAGGTGGTACGCGGAGGAATCTGAAATATTAAAACATTTTTTTTTTAAATATATATTTTTCTTTAAATTCCTTCTGCAGGTAACGTCTCTCCGTTATCTGCAAAAGGAAGCCATGCACGCAACGCAGCCCCGTTCTCTTAACTCCAGGTGACTTTCTGCCGCTTTCCTCCATGGTGCAGTGCTGATCGTTTCACCACAGAGGAAAGCACTTCACTAATTGCAGTACCCATAAGGATCTGTACAAATGCCGCAGTTTTTGCGTGGCTGTGTATTTAGTTGAAAGCCCAGTGGCGATCTGCTCATCTCTCACGAA